ATTTTCCATGGGTTAAAATATGAAAGGGGAAATATTGGTGAATGAACCTTGCAATCACATCCTAGATCTAGAGGTGAATGATAAGGGACAGATGCGATTGTAAGGGCTATAAAATTTATGATCACTTATTAAAAATCGCTTATTAATCCATAAATGTTATAGCATATTTATTTTTTCATGGCATTAAAATCCTTAAGTAATTTCAATAGTTTTTAATGCATTATTTATTATTACCACCTAAATTAAGTGGACTTGATATTTTCATTCTAAATTGTATCCGGGGTCAATTGCTAGGTCATTAATTATATTGGAAATCGCCAAAAGAGAAAGAAAGTATACATGGGCGATTTCCTCATATAAAAAGAATAAATGTTTGTGTCCCGTTTTTTTCTTTGTGTTTGTGTGTTTTCCCTTGTCGTTTTTTTATCTGTGCTTTTTGTAAGTGAGGTCACCCTGGGAATCCATCCCCTTTATATAAGTGATCGATAGGCGGGATGGATTCCTGGTCACATCTGGGCGCTCGTGCTGATCGATGCAGCTGTCAGATGTACAGCGCGTTCGGCTTGAGTTGAGCGTGCTAGTGCGGGATGGAGAAATGCTTTGGACGTTTGACAATCTTTAGCGCAGCTGTGCGCCTCATAGGGCGCATTCTTCCCAGCCACCCCTCCCTCCCTCCCTCCCTCCCTCCCTGTCCATCAAAACATCACGGGTAAAAGTCGAAGTGCATGGGTGCTTGAAGTAGGCGAATGTATGTCATCTCTTTTGCGTTAGCAAACTCTCTTGCCACAAGACGTCCTCTTCTCAGCCCCTGCTTCTGCTCTTTACCATTCTTGATGCCAGTCGTGGACCAAGCGAGTCGTAAGGATCTCCAAGTCTTGCTCTTCCTCAAGAAGATCTCGCAACACTCCCATCCTTTTCAATCGCCTTTATCTGCAAGAAGATCTACCTCTGCTGGTGGCTGTCCTGGCATTGAACTCAAAGCCTCATTGCTCCACAATTCATCTAGGATCCCTGTTTCTTCTTCTTCCTCCGAAGGTTCTCCTCAAGAGCATATCAGCTCTCTTCATTCATTGACTACTTCATCCAAGTGGTGCATCTCAATGTCCTGACATTGTACTTCTGCTAAGTCGCTCTTGAATCATCTGAATCCGCAAAGAACTTGGCGACCTTTCCTCTGTTCTGCTTCTTTTCGGAGCTGGTTCTGGTAAGATTGCGCTTTCCGGTGGCAGTGTCTTTTTCAAGGCTCTTTCCCATGGAAGTTCTTGAAAGATCACATCCTCTAGCTTCTCCATAGGTTTATCTTCCTGCGCAATCTCTGGTGTTATTGGTTGTCCAGGTTGCGGTTCAGCACGACCGCTGGCGCTGGTGTTCCTGGGCCTATGAGTAGTTCTCTACCAAATTCCTCCGCAACTTCTTGTAGTTCTCTAATTGTTTCTGCTCTACCTTGATAGGACTTGGCATAGTTCTCAACTTCTTCCGCGTCGAGATCACGGTGTCGGTAGGCATTGGCTTCCAAAGGTGGCATTGGCCACTATGCGTCCTCCAAAGTCGGTGTGGAACTTGCACGATGCTGAGGAAAATCCCATGTAGTAAGCAAGAAATCTCGTCCAAGGTCTATCCACTCTTCTCACATTTTTTGTAAGCGTGATTCTTTCACCACCTGACACAATCCAAGCATCTTGTCCAAGAAGATTTTCATCTTCCACTTTGGATCTCCTTTCCGCGAATTTAGAGCTTGTGACCTCACGTAGGCGTAGACTGGACATCCAAAAGGTGCGATGCTTCCTGTGTATTGCTTTCCATGAACCAATTCAATTCAAAAGCTGTCGCTCCATCACGATAGGCTTGGAATCTGTTCACGGTCCAGCAAGAGTGCTTAGCTGCCCATGACCATAATGGGTGATTGCCATTCAGCACCACTTAATTTCTTGACATCAAATCCTCCACGATGGTACACATCAATCCTCGTACTCGTTGCGCTGTGCATTCTCCGCCAGCGAGTTTCCAGCACTATCGCGAATACGGGAGGTGAGAATTCTTGTCCTCAATCCAAGTGCATGTCTGCTGTTCAACAGAATTCTCAAAATCGATCTGATGGTTCGTTCATTCCCTCCATAGAAAGCTACTTCGTGGTGACCTGCTGACAAAATGTCATGACTTCTTTTGCTGCAAAGTTGATTTGGGCTTTACTTCAACGGCGTTGCTGCCACCCTTCCCGTTTGTGAATATGTCATGGTCATCCACATTGCTGACTTTACTTCCTTCAATCATCTTTCTCCACCAAGTTCGCCTCTTTCCTCTACTTCCTCCTTTTCGTCTTCTTCTACTAGCTTCCCTTGGATCTGTTCTATCTATAAGGCCTGCTTTGGTGAAGCAAAGACCAAGACTGATGACCAGGATACCTGACATTCTGGCTGGTCCAGTTCGAAGATGTCTATCCTGCTTTGCTCTATGTAGGATGCATTCATGATTCGCTCAAAGTGTGTCAATTTGCTCCCAGACTGTGAAAATCCGAAAGACTTGCAAGCTGCCCGAAGTTCACGAAGTGGACCATCCCCTGTCAAAGTGATGCCATTCGCTTCAACTTCATCAGTGTCCGGACTTCCCAGCGCCAATCTACCCTCTTGAATTGAAGGGTCTTGCTCATACATTTGCTGACGTTCAATCTCCTCAAGGCTTCAAAGCCAAGATCTTCTGGTCCATGTTCACCTGCTGACAAGATTGTCGACACTAAGGCTCCCTGCTTCAAGCCTTCTACTTTCTCCTCTTGCTCCATCATCAGGTTCAGAGGCATCGCCATCTCAACCAACTTCCACTTGCCGCGCTCCTTCGCGAAGGTAGTCCTGTCCCAGGCTATCTCTTGATCAATGCCACTCACCCCAAGAGGTGTCTGACGATTCGTGGACAAAGGAATTCCAATCCACTTGCTTCCAGACTCCCTCCACCCCGCTGTCTCCTCAAGCTCATTTCCAAGCTTCACTTCCACTGCATCTAGGGCGCTCGCGAAATGTGGTAATGCTTCCACCTTGCGAATCTTCGCCTGCAATCAGGCTCTTGTGCTGCATCTCTAACGGAAAGAGTCTTCTCCTGACCATCTATACCCCCCCCATCCAGCCTCTAACAATCTCCCGGATGAACGACAAGATTGGCGGCCGAACTTCGTCTGCAAAGTGGGCCCTTTCACGCACTTGTGCTTCACGGCCTTCTTCTGTTTGCATGATGAAGCACACGTCTCTCAGTCCTTTCACTCCAATCTTCGTGTCTTGAGCATCATGAAGACGATGTGGCTCCTCCCGAGATGGTTGTCCCACCTCTGTGAACATTTCGCTTGGTAGGACTGTGGCATCTGCACCAGAATCCAAAACTACTGGAAACCATGCTCTTCACTCTCAAGGAAACCATCGTCAGCGTCTGCTGTAGCCCGTACTGCGCCCATCTTCAACTCCCGTGGCCCATCTTCCATGAAGAAAAATTGGACTGCCCTGGTCACGCCACGGTCTTCGTCTAGCTCCCTCAAATCAACCACAAAAGGATCCAGCGAGGCTTGTGAAACACTCTCCCAAGAGGCTTGTGAAACTCTCTTGGCGCTGGCTCGATTGGCATGCGCAGACAAAGCTGCTGCGCTTGCGTCGTCTCGCGCTGCATTGCTGGTTCCACCTCCAGTTGATGCCGTAGAGGACTGTGGATTCTCAGCTACCTGCCGAACTCTCCAATCTTTTGGCACTGGCTTACCACATGTGTAGCATACTTTGCCTTTTCCTCTATCATCTTTCCAGGAAGATTGCTTCCCCCTTGGCGCAGCCTTCTTTGTTCCAACTCCATCCCCTTTACCTTTGCTGCCTTTATTGTCCTTCCCTTTTCCTTTTGACTTACCGTCCTTAGTCTTTCCTTTGCCTTTCTTTCCTTTGTCCTGAACTCGATCAATGTCCATAGGCGCCATACCTTTGTCATCCGAAGTCAGCATCATAGCTTGGCCCCACTTCAATGTTGAATGTTGCCTTGTCATACTCCAGGACCTTCTCTGTCAAAGTGACATAGCTTGTGGATTCTGAACTCTGCAGATGTAGCCAAGTTCTGATATTCCCTGAAAGACACTTCATCAGTACAGCAAATTTGATCTCTTGCTCCAGTCTTCTCATACTCTCGCAAAGCATCTTCTAGTTTCACAAGTTGCGATTACGAATTCTTCTGCGTGTTAAATGAAGACCAGCCGAGAATAGCGTTGAGTATGCTGAGGGAAGTTGTCTGTAGGCCTCCAACCCATTTCAATCGCGAAAAGACTATACAAAATGAACTGCGGCTTTTCTCCTTGTCTCCCATCAAGGACCTGTCAACTTCTGTCGATGGATTCTTCCTCAAAGTTTCGAAATCTGCGAGATGTTCGATATCAAAGGATGCTAAGCACGGTTCCAATGACCATGCAAAATCACGCCACATTGACAATTCTTCTTCTCGACTCTTGAGATCAAAGACTCCAGGCTTGGGCAATGTCTTGTACCAACTCTTTTCATCGTGTCTTCGGCTCTTTAGCCCTGCCAAAGCTTGAGCTGCTACCGTAGCTGCCGTGGATGCAGCTTCTGTCGCCAACATCATTCTCCTCGCCAATTCTGCTCCATCTATCTGCTGGCCTGCTGCTCCACTAGGGATTCCAGCTGGGCTCATCACCGGAGAACCCTCCGCACCAGCCATGGCATCGCAAATCTGAGCCTCACCCTTCCGGGATCCGTGTGCTCCGCTACCATGCGAAAGCGGTCCTTTTCTTGAACCTTGATGCGACCTGCGGTGTGCACAGGTGAAACTTGAGTATGAATTGAACATCTACGCAATATATCAGACTTTTTTGCTTTTTAATGACATTGGAAAAATAGATTAGTAAGGAGTTTGGCCATCACATTATGCTTTTTTTGCACAGTGGGGGTGGGTCAACACCAATTATTCTCATCAACTTTTGACCCTTCTTCCTTCCAAACGAGCACGACAAGGCAAGGCAGACAAGGCACATGTCAGGAACCCATGCGATGGAGTCAACCCCAAGCCACTGCATGGTGAGACGGCCATGTCTGCCCCACTGCCAGGAAAGCCTGCCTGGATCCCATCGGATACTGAACTCTCCTGGCAAGAGATATGGGTCTGAGGGCTGGCGTAGGCCCGTAGACCGCGGTAACAAGTCATGCCGTTTTATTGTCCTAGATCCTACGCATGCTTTTCTCTGACGCAAATCATCATCGCAGCAACCAAGTCACGAAAGCCCTGGGAGTTGGCCCTTATCACTCGTTGGCCGGTCACCTGAGAAGAATGCAGGACGCTCGGTTCCGGCTCCGAATTGACTTGGCTGCCAAGGCACCGTGTAAAATTCCCATGGGCAATCAGCATTGAGCCAAACGCCATCAAGTTGACCTTCTACAAATAGCCCATGGTTGCTCAGCGCAGCCATGGGATTCGATGGTCTTTGCGGGCCGTTTTGGGCTACTCACCTGGGGCATCAGCAAAGTGCCTGCGGAAAGTCTGGCCGGCTCAGCGTTCTACACATACCTAGCAAGCCCTGCGCAAGGAGCAATGACTTTGCCAAGAGTTGCTTCAAGCAGTGCGTGCGTGCCTCAAGCTCACTTGCTTCTGGAAATGTAGCATGCATCTATCATCAAAACAACTATCAAAACAATAAGGTATATTTGATAGGATTGTTCCCGAAAGCACCTGCGAAGGGTTTTTCCTTAAGCACTGCTGCCTATTTCATCTTCCTTAATCTCTTTCTCTTACTTGATCTTCCCCACTCTCTCTTCCTTACTCTCTTTCTCTTACTTCATCTTCCCCACTCTCTCTTCCTGACTCTCTTTATCCTACTTCACCTTCCTTACTTCATATTCTTTACTAACTTTCTCCTACTTCACCCTCACAACATCATCATCTAATCATCACCTCATAGGTTATCATATCATATCAGGTTATAATATCATATCACATCACAATGTCATAACATATCATATCATATCATGTTTTAATATCATATCACATCACATCAATGTCAGATCATATCATCTCATATCATGTGATAAAATAATATCACATCACAACATAACATATGAAGTAGAAGTATCAGATCAACAATATCAAAGTACATCAGAAGTAGATATTGATAGGTAGGTATTGATAAGTGGGTATAGACAGGTAGGTGTAGGTAGGTAGGTGTAGATAGGTAGGTGAAGATAGGTAGGTGAAGATAGGTAGGTGTAGACATCTTCCTTAAGACGCCTACCCAACTTCACCTACCCAACTTCTTCTTTATTCTTCTCTTTAGGCGGCGGGGCGGTGCGAGCAGGTCTTACGAAACGCAACCCTCTCGTGGAATCGTGGCCATCGATCGCGCGCGCGTGTGGTGAGACGCGAATC